CAAAATTCATTTTGTTTGTATATTTTCTCCATCTTAGCATTTTATGCTGTGATAAATTCAGCCATAAATAAGAAGCTTGTTAAATAAAAAAGAATTATCAGAATAAGAGTTTCATCTAAACATAATAATTACGGATACACATACCATTTGGCCTTCATCAAGTAAAATAGGAGAGCTACAAAGACTCATATACAGATCTTCCTTGGTTGCATAGGCCACAGGATTCACTGATCTGGAGATGATGTCTTCATAATCAGGCGGCAACAATCTCTCCCAGTCTGTTTCATCTACTGTACTTGAAGAAGAAGATCCAAGTTGAATATTCTGATCATCATAAATCGGAGTACTCCACCCAGATATACTAGGGGATTCGGAGCAGGAACTTGGTTCCCTCGAGGAAATTAAAGCAAGTTGCCTGAGTTGTTCCCTACGGAGAACAACTTCCACAAGTCTTTCCCAATTATGATAGATATTAGACATCTAGCAACAAAACCTCGAATAAGAGACTCCCACTTGAATTATTGCAAGTTTAATTACTGATTTCTTCACGGTTTGTTGTGCTGATTTTAATCCAGAAATGTAGCCCTGTTTGGGCTCCATCTTAACGCGTTGTTGCCCTAATTTTCTTGGTAAGTTCAGATTCAAAATTCTCACTCTCTAAATTGCACCTTTAGTCACTAAACTACCTACAAATTATAACTTTGACCCTAAATAAGTAAAACATCATCATAGTAAATTAAATAATGCTTTCTCTTGAACTCCATCACTTGGTCTCGAATGCGTATATGATACAGCTGGAGATCTTTCATCTCCATTCCACACCTGGAAGAGAATGTTAGTCACAGTCAATTTTACCTCAACTTAGGAATAAAGCGAACAATTTCAGTAGAAAAACTTTAAAATTATCTAAGACCAATCAATTGTCAATCTATTCGAATCAAATATATATATTTCTTTTTCCCGAATTTTATCGCTACATAAATTATCGACTAAGAAGCCCATCCATAGGTAAAAAAGAACAAATAAAAAGAATAATGTAATAGATAAAAAATAGATACATAATACTATTATCCATATTAATTATGTGACATGTACGTGGTGGAGGGGGTTTTACATTGACCAATTCAATACATTGATTGATTATATTATTTGGATTGGATCAAATGAATTATGTAAACTCGTCTTGGACTTGACATCGGCCAATCTTTTTGCGGTCGATGGCCTCTTCCACCCTAATGGCCTACTATTGTTTGTGGGCGAAGTTTGGGTGGATGGGGAGG